CAATATGCATATTACACACAGTTCCACTGATTATACAGACATCAAACTTACTTACTTTTTTAATCCACAGATCCTAATCACATCTTCTTTTGCGTATTTTAAGGAAGCCTTGCTAACCATCTATTGTAGTTATCTAAGCATAGTTAGAAACATAAAAGAAACTGGTTAAAGTTAAATTCCTACAAATGGGAAGTAAATTTGGTAGTAAATTGTGTAAGAAATGGTCTGATTGGTTCTCCAGTTTGAAACTTGAAAGAAAATAATAGGATTAAAATTTTATTTTTATCATATATTAACATAATTCTGATTATAACTGCAGCACACTAATTCTTAGAATGAATCCGAACAGAATCCAATTTTGGTTGGGATTTTTGTTGAACTATATTTTCTGACGAAATTCCTAGATGTTAAATGCAGTGTGGTATCCTAACTTGGATCCAGGAACATCAAAGTGCGTTATAACAAAAAATTGGTGAAATCTGAATAAAATTTGCAGCTTCGTTAATAATAATATGCAGACGTCTTAGTTTTAACAAATGTTCCATGTTAATGGAACATTAGGGAAAACTGGTGAAGGGTAGACAAGAATTCTCTGAATAATAGTTGGAATGTTTCTATAAATCTAGCATTATATACTTATAATGTGTATATATATATATATATAGAGAGAGAGAGAGAGAGAGAGAGAGAGAGCAGCTGTGACCAGGGAGTTTTACCAGCACTTAGGGCTAAGAATGCCTATGCTTGAAGGAAGCAGCTTTTTTTTTTTTACCTCTTTTTTCAATCAATTTGCATTCAGTATTATTTTGTATTAGTTTTAGGTGTACAGCATGGTGTTTAGTGTTCCCCTGATATATCCAGTGCCCACCTGTCACCATATATAGTTATTAGAATATTATTGACTATATTGTCTACGCTGTACTTTACGACCCTATGACTACTAGTATTTTGAAACTGCCAATCTGTACTTCTCAATCCCTTTACCTTTTTCAACCAGTCTCCCAACCCCCACCCTCTGACAACCATCAGTCTGTTCTCTTGTATCTATGAGTCGTTTTCTGTTTCCTTTGTTCATTTATATTATTCGTTAGACTTCACAAATAAGTGAAATTATATGATATGTGTCTTTCTCTGACTGACTTATTTCACTTACCATAATCCCCTCTAGGTCCGTGGTCGGCAAACTGCGGCTCGCGAGCCACATGCGGCTTTTTGGCCCCTTGAGTGTGGCTCTTCCTAAGCCTTAGGAGTACCCTAATTAAGTTAATAACAATGTACCTACCTATATAGTTTAAGTTTAAAAAATTTGGCTCTCAAAAGAAATTTCATCATTGTACTGTTGATATTTGGCTCTGTTGGCTAATGAGTTTGCCGACCACCTAGGTCCATCCAGAAAGCAGCTTTCTTTTTTTTTAATATGGAACGCTTCACGAATTTGCGTGTCATCCTTGCTCAGGGGCCATGCTGATCTTCTCTGTATCGTTCCAATTTTAGTATATGTGCTGCCGAAGCGAGCACTGGAAAGCAGCTTTCTTGAAAGGACGTAGGTTGACCCAAGCCTCCCCCTACCCTCACACCAGAGTTCTCCTGCCATCTAGTGCCCAATGGCAGCAAATGCCTAAATTCCAATGTCAGGGCCCCTTTCCTTGTGTCCCCCACTCATCAGTTTCCTCTTCTATTCCAGGATCCAAGTCAGCAGAATCACTTGGTGTCCCCAAAGCTTCAAGCTATTTCACATTCTGTTTTGTTCACAGCAGTTCCCTGTGCCTGGCATGGCATTCTCTTCACCTCTTGTGTGCCAGGCAAACAGCTCTAAGAAAACTTTCCTGAAGCACCTGAACCCCTCACCTCCTTCTTGCCAGCCCGGACCATCCCCCAGAGCACATCTCTTCCATTGCCTTTGTCTTCCCCCTTCGCCTTCACTGATGCTCCCCTGTGGACCCTTACCCCTACCTAGCACAGTGCCTGGCATCTAGCAAGGACCCAATATGTGTTGAATAAGTGAATGAATAGGATAGGGAAGTTGGAGGTGGAAGGTGGGCCATTCCAGATAGAACTGTTCCAGGAGCTCAGAAATGGCTTGCTGTTGCTGGTATGTAAATGTTCCATCATCAATTGAATATCTGTAGCCTCTGCATTGGCTTTGAAGCTAATAATCTATATACATAAAAGGCTAATATGCGAAGTATCCCTCCTACCATCCAACCAGTCGCTATGACGCACACTGACCACCAGGAGCTGCTAAGCTGCAGTGACTTGGCAGCAGCAGTTCTCGCATGACACACCCCGAAACCAGAGAGGAGGGAGCCCGATTCCTTGCGAGGCCACGCGATTCCACCTTGGGCCATGGGTTATGTTGTTGCTGGGGCACTGTCCACCCCAAATCTGGTTTACTGCACACTTGCATTTGCGTTGCATACCCTGTACAACAGCAACTTGCAGAATGCCCTCTCGCACTCCCGGACCCCTCAGGGGATATCAGAGAGCCAGTTTCGGCCCGATCCTCACAGGCCAGGTGGAGGGACCCTGCTCACTCCACAGACACCAGGGAGGGACTGTGGGAGGTTGGCTCCAGGGCGTGTCTGGCCCTTCTCGCCCAGTCCCGCCCCACCGGCCACCTTCTAATTAATTTCCTTTCAATGTGCACGAATCCATGCACCAGGTCACTAGTGTTTTATAAATGCATAAACATACATCTACCAACAATCTAACAAATCCACTTCGAGATATTTACCCAACAGTAATGGAAATCTATGTCTACAAAAGACTTACTCAAGAATGTTCAGTCACCACTTTATTCATAACAGCTAATAATTGGAAAAGACCCAAATGTCAACAGGGGAATGGAAAAATAAATTGTGCTATGTTTGTTTAATGGGCTACCATTTGGCAAGGAACAGGAGTCAATGCCAGCACTGGATCTCACAAGCTTATGCTAGGTGAAGAAGTTAGAAAAAAAAGAGTACATATGGGGTAGGTAAAAGTAGGATTACTGTTATGAGAGTTTATTCTTATATTATGTATTCATTATTGTGTTATTTTCCATACCAAACAACTATAATCCTACTCTTGCCCACCCTATATGTAAAATTTCAGAAAGGGAAAATGTAACCTTGTAGCGACGGAAAGCAGATCAATCGTTACCTGGGGTAAGGGAGTGAGGGAATAAGGGGAGAAAGGGCAGAGACTGGGAAAGAGCGGGTTTGTTAAAATTCATCAAGCTGTACACCTAAGATCTGAGCATATTTCTGTACGTTAATTCTAAGTATTGAATATGTGTTAAGAGTTGGAAGAGAAGGAAGGAAGAGAAGAAGGGAAGGGAGAAAGGCAGTTGCGGTGCCCGGTGCAGGATCAAGCGAATAAGCCGTCGGTTCCCGGAGGCGGCTAGGGCGGGGTGCCCACGCCGGAAGCCGGCGGGGAAGGAGGGAGCGGGCGGGGAAGGAGCCAGTGCGCGGGGAACGGGGGAGCGCGCGGG